AGTCCTACGACCAACATCGGGGAAACCCTCGTAACTCTTCTCACTTTGTTTCTTCTCGTCAACTCCGTCTCTCGAGCGCGCACACCAGCTCGCACAGCCGTTTCTCGCACTCTTCTTCTTCTTCTCTCTCTCTCTCTCTCTCTCTCTCGCTCTCTCACGCAGGCCCAGACGCGTGCGCGCGCGCGCACGCACGCACTCGACTCTTGCTCTTTTGCTCTCTCGCTCTCACTCACTCACTCACTCACTCACTCACTCTCTCTCTCTCTCTCTCTCTCTCTCTCTCTTTCTGCCTGTCTTTCTCTCTATTACTCTCTTACTCTCTTATTCCCTTATTCTGTAACTCTGTAACTCTGTAACTCTGTAATTCTGTTCCACTTCGTGCTCACTCTTTCGCGCTCTATCATCTATCTTGCTCTTATAAGGAGGAGGACGTCATGGCGCGCTATTGCACATCACACTTTTTCGACACAGAGAGTGGGAACCTCGCGCACACGAATGCGCGCCGAAGCGTATGTGTGCGCGTGGCGCCGCGCTTTCGTCGCGAGGTTCCTTTTTTCCCCCTTGGCTCCCTTGTTTTCGAAGAATAAACGCGTGCGTGCGACCAAGAAGCTCGACCTCCTTGCACCAAGTCCTGCAAGTTTCGATGATAATTGCGCTCGACGGCTTTTCGATATCACGCAACAAGGCACAACGACGACGACGTTGTTGGATTCGACGGCGATTAATCTTCGCTCAAAAGACGAGGGATACCCGTCGTCCGTCGCAGAACTTCGTCGTTCTCGCTCTTCTCATTCAACGGCCTCGCTTCGCTTTCTCCTACGACTTCCTTCCTCGGCCTCCTCCTCGCTTAACGCTTTTCTTCTCTGCTGCCGATTTTTACCTCCCGTACGAACAAGCAACTCTTTATTTTGGCTCCACTCGCGAATCGCGGAGGGAACTAGAAAGAGCAGCGGAGAGCACCAGGGAGCAAGAGCGGCTACGTTTCCCTCGTCTGGCCTCGTCCCACCGTCACTACACCGGCAGCAGCAGCAGCAGCAGCAGCAGCAGCAGCAGCAGCAGCAGCAGCAGCAGCAGCAGCAGCAGCAGCAGCAGCAGCAGCAGCAGCAGCAGCAGCAGCGCACCACCACCACCACCACCACCACCGCCACCACCACCAACACCAAAATCAACACCACCACTACCACTACCACTACCACTACCACTACCACTATCACTACCTCTAGCTCTGCCACAATCGCTACCGCTATCGCCACCGCCGCCACTACTACCACTACCAACTCCAATAATTCCCGTGTACGCGCGAACTCGCTCGCTGACTTTGGGCCCTCGACCGCTCGTTGTGATCAGCCGCACCGCGCGGATGTACGTTGGAGTGATTTGAAGCGCCTGCCTAATTGGTTAGCGGCTAGCGGAGAGGAAACGCGTTTTTTCGTATCAATCGGGGTGTCGCTATTCGTCGCTCGTAGCCCAACGTCGTACCGTACGGCGGCGCTGGGGACTTACCCGCGGGCATATTAATCCCTCTTCTCGATGAGTCTCGCGTGCGAATCGGCCTTTAACTTGCGGGACTCGCTTGGACTGGGGGAACTCGGCACGGCCGACGGCGATACCACCGCTGACGGAAGTACCTCGTTATATAAAGCCGGATGCGCGATATGAATTTACGATGCGTTATTCGTCGGGGTTTCCGCGGATTTTCGCCTTTGGAGCCTGTCGCTGCTGGAGGTAATGCTCGCTCGGGCCACCTGCCTCTTGCCCCTCTGCCGCGCTCCACGATGCCTCATCGTACAAGGAAGGTTAAATGTTATTGTTCAATGTCATCGATAAAGCATGCCCGATTCCGAGAGGAATGTAAGCTTCGAGTAAGCCGAGTTTACCATTTGCGAGGATGCACTCTCCCCGGAAGAGTAAATAAATTCTCTTCTACGTTTTCTCGACTCGTTCAATGTGGAAATTTATTCTCCAACTGTCCTCGTTCTATACGCTCGGGCGTCTAAATTGCATCTTGCTTTTTTCTTCTTCATTTATTATTATTTTTTTCTTCTTCTTTTCCTTTCTTTCTTTTTCTACTCTCTGTATCGTTAAGGTAAGAGCCTATCCTAAATCCTATCGGTGGCTCGATTTATTTATTTATTCGTTGGTGCCCCGTTCCCCGTGCCCCGAGGCTGGTAGATGGTGAAGAATTTGCCTTGGATGACGTTTACCTAGAGTTAATAAGTCGTTATAGCTTGTGCGCGAAAGGAAATTTCATTTCAAGGTAGAAGAAGAAGAATAAGAAGAATAAGAAAAAACCGTGATTTCTCATTAGCATGTGTTCGCCGATGGACATCGTGAAATAATACGTAGACGACAAAATTCAATAATCTTGAGAATTCGTATTTGTAATTACGTTCAATGAATTTCGTGAATTTTATATACATACCTCTTACCCTCCGCCCGCCCAAATGTTTCGTGAAAACACTTGTAAGAGGGAGAAAGGCGACATTTTCGTTTTGATACGATATTATTGTACACGTAATTTTCTTCCCCCATCGTGAAAAGTTGCTCCATCCACTGAAACGAGCGACAAACGTTACAACGATCGCATAAATAATTATAAAAAAAATATTTTGCAGCGTAATAATTGATTTATTTCGTTTTATTGTATCGTAAGGAGAGAACGTTAATTTTTTACCTCCATGAAATATTATTGTACACGTCGTAGCTTATTCATTTAAAATTAGACCTAAAAATACGCTCGACACTCATCCGATGAGCGTACAGCACAATCACAATATTATTATTATTATTATTATTATTATTATTATTATTATTATTATTAATTAAATTAACAATAAGCACTTTAAAAGTCTCTTTATATTGCTTTTAATTTATGCAATTTAAATGTGCAATGCTTTCCCGCTTCTCTAGGCTGACGCATGCGTCCAATGAAAAAGGCACCCCGAATAATTTTTATCTTTGACAAATTGTTTTGTATTCGTTATCATTTTATAAAGAGTATTGTATGAAAATTGTAACAAATATTTATCAGAGATATGCTTTTGTATATTATACGTAACATTTATTTCATTATGTGGATTAACAATTTCAAAGTTAACGGTAAAGCCCGAAAATATAATATTCTAATGCCCAAGCAATTTAACAATGGTGCTTATTACTTTAATACCTAACATTGTTTTTTTGTTTTTGTTTTTGTTTTGTTTTGTTTTTTGTTTTTTTTTTCTTCTCTCGCTTTTTTGTTTGTTTGTTTTTTTTTTCTCGAAAACGACGATATTTGAAGAGGAATTACTTAGAAAGTTTAGAGCATCGCTCCGGTTGTCATTCTTCTAAAGAAATTTACACGTATAATCGTTTTATTATAAACGGAGCTCCTCTATCCTCTCTAAACCACAATGCCATTCGCGTGTGTACGGTGATCTCGAAGAGCATGTGAACGAGTATGACTCGGGCATGCATCGGGTGACACCTATGTAAACTTACTTTAAGTAACATTCTATAGGTATACATACTAGTCGCACCCTAGCCACACATTCGCGCGCGCACACTTATCCACACTCGTGCGGTGTTGAAGAATGGGAAGGGTGAGTGGGGGGGGGGGGGGGGGGGGAGGGGAGTTGACAGTGGTGGTAGGCAAATAGAATTAAAGCCGCACACGAGCGTAATTATATACACATAGTCAGATATAGGCTCGGACTCATCGGATTCGGATCGAGTCATCGCGAAAATGTGCATACTTAGGAGCGCCTTAGAGGCGCGCGCGCACACACATGCTATTGCTCACGTGCGCACGTAGTAGTCGAAGGTGCAAAAACGAGTAAGCGAACAAGAACGAGAGCGACGAACGGCAGATCGCGGCTTGACAAGCGATGGAAAAGGAAGGAAACGTATGTGCGCGGGGACGTGTTTATGGCAGGCTTCGACGCTGCGTTAAAAAAGAATAAACGTAGGAAAAATCGGAGAGCAAAAAGAGAAATACAGACGTTCGCCGAGCTTTGTAGGAAGGCTTAAATAACAATTAACGTTGATAATAATGATGATAGGGCGGTTTTTTTGCATCGCCTGTAATTGCTGCGCGAACGGTCTGGCCACATTGTACGCCAGTTCCTCTTCCTTTCCTTAATGAGCAAATACGAGATCGCTGTTGCGAAAAGCGAGCAAAATTAACGATGTAACCCGTGCGCGCGGACATGTATCAATCTCTTTCTCTTTCTCTCGTATTGCCCGTGTATCCTTACACGCGCGTACTCACGCACGTACGCACGGGCACAGGCACGCGCAGATACGGCGATACATACCCAAACGGCGCACGGGGCCAAGAATAGCCAAGAGCACGCGAATCTAGCCGTGTCGCATATTAAGAGTAACCGTGGAGATCGTCGTCGTCGGGATAGTAGGAGGGGGGGGGGGGGGGGGCGGGGGAAGGGGCAAGGAAGCGAGAGGGCAGGGCGACACTGCGGCCAGCAAAGAGCAGAACTAGGGAATCGCGCGCGAGAGCCGCGACGAACGACCGCTCCCCTGTTTAATATAATTTTTATCGCGGCGCGTGCGCTTGTGCGCGCGTACGTGTGCATGTGCATCATCCGAAGGAGCGAAGGCTCAGTACGTTTCGTTTGGGGAAGGAACGTCAACGGGGACGACGGACGAGGCCCGCTCGCCATCTCGACCCAGTGGAGAAAGAAAGAGGATCGAATAAAGGGGAATAGGGCGAGCTCGTGCCCGTGGCGATTATATATCCGGAACGACGAGAGGCAACATCAACGCTGCCGGAGTTTTCAGTGAAGAGAGAATAAGAGAGCGAGACGGCCTGAGAGGGCGAGTGAGCGAGAAGAAAAAGATAGAAAGAGAGAGATAGATAGAGATAGAGATAGAGATAGAGATAGATTGAGAGAAAGAGAAAGAGCGAGAGAGCTTGTGTGCGCGCGCCCGCGCGCGCATGTACGAGAGAGTGAGTGAACGAGAGTAAGAGAGAGAGAGAAAGAGAGTAAGAGCGAGATAGTTAGATAGAGAGATAGAGAGCGAGAGAGTGAGAGGGGATCACGAGGAGAGACAGATTTTATAAATCGGTATATATGGGGGCAGGCGGCGGTGACGAAGCTCAGCTAAAGAAGCAGAAGCAGCACCAGCCAGAGGAGCTGAGTAGGAAGATCGTCGTGCTGCGCCGGGGGAGCGAGAGGGGCGCCAGGTCGAGCCTCCTCCCTCTTAAGGTTTGTTCACTCTTGTCAGTGAATGCCGAACTCCAGGGTGTACCTCCGTATTTCTTCCCAGCGCATTTCTCTTTTGGAGAATGGCCGGATAAAAGTGTGCTTTCCCCAAAGGGCTATTAGGTTGAGGTAGCGTATCTGTGCTTGCATGCGTAACACCATAGGTAACCTATGGATCCTCAGCAATTTAAAGGAATTTCATTAGGAATTTTAGAGCCACTTGAAACTTTCTGCAACAGTCTTTGCTTTCTCACTGCAAGTGCTAAAAGGTAATGAGAAATATTGGTTTTATTCGGAAACATGATTTTCAGCTTAAAACTAATCTGGATTGTTATTTTCTTTTCGCGAGTGCATTAGTTGATTTACTCTGCGAGGTAAAGCTGCATTATTTATGTGACTCTTTTTGTCATATTAATATGTTTTTATTCGCAGTGTGATTTATAATTACACATTTATTGATGCTACAGTTTCATTGCGCTTATGTAAAGTATTCCTTACGAATCCTTTATGTAATAAGACAACGGTGGTCGTATAGTTCATAACTGGGCAAATTTCAAGTTGTAAAGCAATCCATTAGGAAACTTAACAATTGACTGTAACGCAAAGTTTATTTTTAAACCCGTTCATTATTTTATTTTGATTTTAAAATAGAGTTAGAGTCTAAATTTATTAAAAGCATAAAATTTAAAAACATTATTTCAGAGTGAATATTTATAAAGCAAATATTGAATTTTTATTATTTTAATTCTGAAATTTAAAGTAAAAAAAAATTATATGTATATATATATATATATATAATAAATATAACTAACAAAATCAAAGTATATTTTGAATTTCAAATAACAGTAATTATTTAATGACTCGAATTAATATCAAATTTAATTTCTTTGCATTCTGTTCATTAATATCAGCTGATGCTTAATATAACCGTCGTCATCTTCTGTAAAAACAGCAACAAAAATAATTGATAACATTGAGTATTGAGTTATATTTCCAACGATATTTTTATAAGGTTATGTTTTATAAGTTATTTATGGAATCAATAATTTCTCAATTTATTTCATGCAAATTTTGTATGTTGTTTTATAATTACAACGATAGTATTTTAATTTTTAACAAAATTGACATTATTGCAATTAATTGTCAGTACGCTTTAATCAATGTTATTTTATTAAAATTTAAATTATAAATATACTTCTTGATTAATTTATTGGAATATTTATTTTATAGTGTTAGCGTTAATTTTAAATTCTGTACAATTTATACAATAAATGATAGCCAACATATTTAATTTTGTATAAAAATTTGAAATAGCTCGTTTGCTTTGCATTTAAACATATACAGACAGATATTTATAATTTTTTAAGAACAATAAGCGTTAAACCGATATGCTTTGAATAAAATATTAAATTAATAAGAAACTATAACATTATTGTTTATATTACTGTATATTTTATGTTAGTATTTTAAACTTTAATGATATATTAAAATGCATAAAAATATTTTTTTGATCCAATGATATCTCATAATGTGTCAAGTAATTTGTTAAAATCAATACAACATGTAGGTGATTTTAACATTTTACAATGATGAGCTAATACAAATTTTATGCAATTAGCTAAAATATTTGGTAAATAATGTTTGTTGTCTGTTGTTTAAGCTATATCGAGGTATTGATAAAAATAGTTTGTTTCATTCATTTTAAGCTACCATTAAAAGAAAACGATTCATGTGTAGGATTCATCTGTATGATATATATATATATATATATATATATATATATATATCATATAAGAATTAGATTATTATTGTAAAGCAATTCATGCTATTTGAAACATATCTTGTTCTCCTGTCACATATTTTATTAAATGAGTTTGATAAACATATTTTTTTCTAAATTATAAATTATAATGTTAAATTTCGTAATTGTAATTGTGGTAATTAAACTTTTAACAAAAAAAATGTTAATTATAAAACTTTTTTTTTTATTGCTTTTTTTATGATTTGATAGGAACTATTATAATAATTGCTATGTATCTGCAAATTTAAATTAAATATTTTTGTGTATAGTTTTTTTTATAATTTAGATATAATTGAGATAATTTTATAAGTTTAAATTGATTTTGTGATTTTGTTAATGAAAAGTTTATAAATCTTATTTTTATAATTGATGAAGGTACAATTATCAACACATAGTTTTTGTACGATATAAATAATATTTGTGCCTCCCCCTCCCCTCCACCTCCCCTATCCAGACACACGCACACACACACGCACGCAGGCAAAACTTTATATATTTAGTTCCACAGAGGTACACCCAAATCAAAATATTTGATTATTATTTGATTTAATAAAGTTAATAAATCTTTAGGGTTAGGTGGTGGTGAAACTGGAGACGGAATCATCCAAAGTGGTTTTAAGTGATCTGTGTAAAGGCGTTTTATCTGAGTAGTTTGTTCATTGTTTGTTACTCAGAGATACATATAGTGCAATGTCATTGGAGAATAGATCTAGTTCGGCTTTGTTCAAAAGGGCCGAGCAACTCAAGAGATGGGAGCAATCGGAGACTAATAAACAGCCACCACATCCTAGACAGGTTACTAGAAAGATCAAGTTTTCAGCTGATTGCGTTTTTCTAGCTGCTTGCGCAGCCGGTGACAAGGATGAGGTTGTTAGATTACTTGAAAAAGGAGCAGATATCAACACTGGAAATGTCGATGGTCTTACCGCATTGCATCAGGTAATATTCGTTATTATTATTATTTAATCGTTTGTCGAAGTAACAAATTAATCATCTATTTATTTTTGGCAGAATTTATCTATTAAGATACAGATAGTAATAAGTTTCTTGAAACTCGACTATTAAAATGCAATCTATTTTCAGTTTATTTAAATGTTAAATCAATGATATTAAAATATATTAATATATAATGTATGAAAAGTATGCATTAGAATTGTTACTCTTTAAAATTGTATTTATTTTAAAAAGCTTGTACTTTTCATTATTCATTAGATTTCATTAAAATTAATTATATATATTTTTCACAAAGTCTGTGTTTATTCAAAATTTAAGAAAAATATATATCAAAAATAATTTTGGTGTGCTTCAGAACTATAAAATAAGCATAATTTATTAGAAATTTATAATATTTATTATTTGTAAGATCATTGAAGTGCAAAATTGTAAAACATAAAATAATTTTATGATTATATTCTTACAAAGTTAATTGATCGTTGAAAATATTTTCATATTTTATACTTTAATTTAAACCTACAATCACATGGCTTTATCATCGCCAACTATAGTAATTAAAAAGGAGGTATTTGTCTTTGTAAATTTTATAAAAATATTTACATTATATGGCAATCTTCAATCTAATTTAATCTCATGGTGTTTTAATGTTTGTAAAAAACGAATGTACATGAACATGCATGAATATCATTGCAATTTCTATTTATTTCATATTTTTTGTGAAAGAAATTTATCTCCATTGCTGTACATAATACAGTTTCGTCAACAACTATTTACCGTTCAAATACGTATTAATAAAACAATAATTACTATTTATTAAACAATGATTGACTGTAAAATGTGTTTTGAGTTTCATTCTATCTGCTCATCGACATCATGGTTAACGATCGACTTATATGTGATTCATCACGTTCACTATAATAATCAAATTGTATTGATGTATTGAATTAAATATATATTTTTTCAGAACTATAATACAATGAGAAATTAAACTCGACGAATATTTACAATCTCTTTTCGTGCATTAGTTTATTAGTTAACTCGTAGTGAAATAATAACCAATTATATAAAGGAAAAGTAACTTGAAGCACTCAATATTTATTGTTTCTTAAAAAATATGTACAAAAATATGTAAATATACTTTACTATCTATTTTTTCAAAGTGAATCTATGTGTTTATGTATTTAAAATTGACGAAAAAATAATTCAATGTTTAATAGATACTGTAAAAGTGAATTATTTTCATTATTAAGAAACATTTGTTTGTCACAAGAGAATTTATTATTCGCTTATTATATACCTATGCATATTGCTTGGCATATTGAATAAGAAATGAGACTGGTGACAAATGTTTCTTCTTTTGTGTTTTTTCATTTCTGGTATTCAGATGTTTAAAACGTGTCGGTCAAAGCATGTCATCTGTCGAGACAAGTAGTCGAGTTGTATACACATTGCCAATTGGCAAAGAATGGTAGAACATTTTCTTGTACTTCTTCTTTTTCTTCTTCTTCTTCTTCTTCTTCTTCTTCTTCTTCTTCTTCTTCTTCTTCTTCTCCATCTGTAATTTCAGTCCCTCTCTCGATTTTCTTAAAGATTAGAAAAAGCGGATTGAACGTGTAAGCGTTTGTATTATGTAAAAGGGTCGTATGCTAAATATTGAAGAACGCCTGTTTCCTACGATTTTTCATTCAGGCTTATGATTCTATCTTAATTGCTTAGTAAGTTTGGATAGGTACGATTTTTTCGATTTAAATAAACTCGCAAATGAATCTTGCAAAGTGAAACTTTCATGCACACGTGGATGAAAAATCTTCCCGTTGCTCGAATTCCAGTTGCGATATATGCAGGTATCACGCGCTACTTGCTAGTTTCGTTTGTTGATCTTACGGAAAGATCAAAGTTCCATTGATTCAGACGATATACAGTATATATATAACCCAGCCAGACGACTATAGGGTGCAATCGAATAAGTAGGTTGAAAAAAATTTATTTTTATGCCTTTGAATATGCGATGTATTTGAAAAGAGAAAAACTCAATATAACAGGCAAAAATTTTCATAAATTATTAAACTATAATTACAATTAATTTTAATATGTCTAATGACGTATTTTAATGTAATATAATAAATTTATATTACAATTAAAAAAGATTAGAATTAAAATATAGAAAAAATTTAAATAAACATAAATAGTAATTTTATTTTTAAAATTGATTTTGCTAAAGTGATATTAAAAATTTAAAAAAAAAAACGATAATTCATATATTTTTAGTATTATCAAGGTAGAACATATAAACAAAATAGATAAAAAAATTTGTTAATAATTTTAATCGATATTCTTAAACTATTCTTAGAAAAAAGAAATTCTTTGCAACTTTAATTAATTGATAATTCATCGATAACAAAAGAGCTGTAATTAAAAATATATTAAAAAAAATTTTTGATTTAATCAAATACTTTATTTTCATTGTAAGTAAATTTCAAATAAATTAACTTTAATGAATAACATTTGATCATTACCAATTTGATTACAAAAATTATATTATGTGTTTGCTTTTTTGTGTGTTTGCGCGCGCGCGTGTGTCTACATACTTATTTTTTTCCAAAATAAAATATAAATATTAAATTCGGGTTATAAATTCATTATTTAATATACATATATTTATCTATTATGAATTAATGTTTTTTATTAAAAATGTAACTATCCTATATATATGTGTGTAAAAACGCTTAATCTTAATAATATTTAAGTTGGTAAGAACAAGTATGAATCGGTCTGACATTCGCCTTTTAACGTGCTTAAAATTAATTAAACAATATAAACAATTGTTTCAATAAACAAATTATGTTCAATTTTGCATATAACTATTAACAAAATTACGCAAAGCAAATAACACTGATGATTCAGTTCTAATTTTAATTTAAAATAGTTGAAAGAACGAAGCAAGATCTACTATTTCACGATTTCTTACGAAGAATGCAAACAAGGGTGTTACTATTTTTCAGTAAATTTTATGTTGATGATTTGTAGCACTAGGAAGTCTTAAAATACTTGATAGCAATTAGTCCTAGAATAAATATAAATAATCTAATGCATGAGTAATAAAATTGATTATTATAATGGGGAAGAATTATATTCAGCGTTCAATAGTAAACTCAAGGTACATATTAATTGTCAAAAATTTCGAATCACGTATTTCGAGAGAACTTGGAAATTTGCTAAACTTGAATAACGACTCGTGCTTGTTTTTCCGAATTTTCTCGAAAGTCTATTTTGATATTCAAGTACATCGCTTTCAACATAATATGAAGATTTAGAATTGAAAGGCTACAAAAGATCTTTCAACATTTTGGAAAAATATTGTGTAAAAACTATATAAAATACACATTAAAATTATTTTCAATTGCCGCTGTATGTATTGTAATGTTTATTATAAATATTAAAATAATTATATTTGCAAAATTTAAACCATATATTATTTCTATTTTCATAATTAAAATATATTTTAAAAACAAAGCCGAAAATCATTTATAAACTTAAGGATTATTTTTTAATTTTACAATTATAAAATTAAAATATACTAATTCGAACGTAATTGTAGATGATAAATTATAATCATTTCCCGAAAAGAAATCTGATATAAATAACAACATAAATGGCTTGTTAACACAATTAATTTAACGCTTACGACACTAAAAGAAACAAATATCTATATTCAGGCATTTTTTATTTAGCATATTTCTTTTTGTACTTTGATTGCACATATTTTATATTGTTTGTTATACGCTAAAGAAGTCTACACAATGAAAAATATATACAAGTTAAAATAATTTTTTTCATTATATGTAAGATATAAAAATCTAAAAATATCAAATAGTTTAATATAATAATTAAAATAAAGTTTGTCTTTTTGTAATACAATAGATAATTCATTTTCAACAATACTTTGACTGCATTAAGATTATTTGTACAATTTTTAATTTTTGATATATTTAATAATACATTTTCATGTTATGTAACAGCAGTTAATAAAATTTCGAATATGTGAAATATAAAGTAATACGTAGTTCATGAATTCATCGATTTAAACTAAATGTTAAATTATGATATTTCAGTTACATTTTCATAATTATTTGTCTTTATTATTATTAGAAATTTTAAATATCGTATGAATTTTACATCTGTGTTTACACTTCATCGATTGAAAAATAAATAATTTTATTATTTCATTATTTGGACATATAGAAGAATAAACTATCTGTATTTTTACTGTAACATTGTTATTATTCGACTAAATCCCAAATAATATACTATAATCCGTTGATATTGAAATATTTCTAAAGTATATGAATACGATAAATAAGTTACATTTTTCATTAAATTAATTTCCTTAATTAAATTAAAAATAGTTAAAACAATTAAAAAATATTTTGATTTTGATTTTTAGTGTATTTTTCTAATTGTGTAATAAACTTTTAGTTTAATTATATTTTTAAGTTTTAATGGATTCATCGGCTAATAATCAATTGTACAGTAGAAAAAAAAAATATTTTTATATGAAAATTTATCAAAATAAATGTATACGTAAGCGTATTTTGTTTAATCTATAAATTAAATATTTTTATAAATAATACGTAATATGATGTGTGATTTATAAATTGTACTAAATGAAAGTAAACAATATATTCATCAATTATGTTAATTATTAATTGTCAAGTATTTTTTAATAAAGTAAGTGTATGAGATAGTAGTGGCTAAAGTTTCATTTTATAAAAGTTACAGAATTTATTAAAAGAAATATCGTTCGAATGGTTAAATATTACAATTTATATTATCAGTTAGAATTGTGGAATTCGGGCTAGTTCAGTTCATTTTATTTCGGAGTATTTTATAAGAGTGTAATAATAATTATTAAAATATTCTTATTATCGACATTTTTCAAATTATATCTTTAATGCAAAAAAAAAAAAAACTGAAACTATTAAATT